GGGGTGGGATCTTGATTGATCATTGTGCATATCAGAGGCACGGTGGCATTGTGTCCTTTGCTGTTCCAAGGGGGTAGACTTTCAGATAAAAAAGGTCATTAAGATGTTGAAACACTGTGATCTACAGGAAAGTAAGAGTAAAACGTGTGAGCCCCATGCACGCATGCGTTGTGGGTAGAGTTTGCTCGGGTCATCAAGAGTGAGATGCAGATCTCCTGGTGTACCTTCTCTCCGCAGAGGCTGGCCAGAACTTCCGGTTAACTGAGTTATCGGCCCAGCCCTCTTCAACCGATGCTTCCCCACAAGGAACACAGAGACGAATATATATTTAATATTAAATTTCTAAATATCCAATACCAGGAGATCACTTTTCCTCTTGTTCATCTTCATTTTGTGTGATTTTTTTTCCCAGAAAGCTATGGTATACTGTTAATTTCCAGTTCAAGATTATACCAGTCTTTAACAATAGATGGTTAAATTACAAGTAGAAAACTTGGCATCTATGTGTTCTAATGTCCAAGGAATGGAAAAATCCTAACTTTTTAATGGACATTTTAGAACTTAGGTTAATATCGTAGTCGATGTCTTGAGGAGCTTAAGTCGCTGTCAGTGAGGTGGACTTTGAAGAAGTGTGGCGAGAATCAATGTGGCCCTTTCTATCAAAAAACAAATATGACATCGGAGGTGTTAGTTCAAATAAAAAAAAAAATGTAGCAAAGTCCATTGGAAGCGGTGCTAGGAGTTTGAACTCAGCTTCATACTCCTTCTGATAATAAAAATATGGGCCAGAATTTCCTCTTATAAAGCTAAAAATTGACCTTGGATTGTAGTTCAAAACGAAGCTCATCCAAAGTGAATTAATTTATGGATACAAATAAAGCCTTTTAATTTATTACTTTAAAAGGCCACAGTGGGGGTAGGGAAGAGACTCAGTCAGTGAGGTGCTAGCCTAGCCTTGTAAGCAAGAGGACAGGAATGATCCTCAGAACCTGCAGTCACAACACTTGTGGAGACAGGTCCCAGCTAGACCTGCAGGATGGATTGGTAAGCTTCACATTCAGGGAGAGACTCTGTCTCCGAGCACATGATGGACACCCGGCATCAGCCTCTGACCTCCACACACATGAGCGTGCAAACAAAGAAAAAGGTTAAATATGGGATCTCGTGGTACTGGAGTGTATTTAGGCATGTCACAGTAAGTGTGCACTCATCCGTGTTCTTCGTAGAGAAGCGTAGGTTGAAGTGGGCTGGGCCCGTGCCATTGGAGGTGTTAGTTTACATGGAGAACTGTAGAGGACATCATTGGGAGTTTGGGTTCAGCCTCATTCTCCTTCTGATTAAAAAAAATATATATGAGCGAGAATTTCCTCTTATAAACCTAAACATTTTTGCACTTCTCTACAGAGAGAGAAGATGAAGGAGCCCAGCTTTTGTAGTGCCATTTCTCCTTCTCTAACTCATCTTTAGATTGCAAAATGTTGGCTTAGGTGATCTAGTGTCAAATGATTTGATTAGTAAATGAAATATAGAAGATTTCCCTAGTTTAACAGCGAGAAGCATTTTGGGACAGTTTTCTGGGATAGTACATTAAACCCCAAACAAAACAAGCAAGCGTTTGATGTTTTATGTTGGCGCTAATATATCTAATATATATATGTGACATGTATGTATGATATATAATATATATAATATATTATATCCATAGATATAGATATAAAACAATCTAAAATATAGTATTATATACATATATATTAGTATTTTACAGTTCATCCATGTAGTTTCCTTTCTTTTCTTTAGGTAAATAAAAGTGTTGTGATAGCTCATTTATTTTAGACTTGCATTTTGTTACAGTAGAGGACCTGTTTGATAGGGTTGTTGTTTCAGTGTATCTTGATATGTTTGGCATTTTGAAGAGTATTCCTTGTGCCCTGTCATTTATGGTAGTGTATTTCTTTCAACCTATGGTATTTCCTTTCTTTTATTAATGTGGTATGATTGGACCCATGACATTGGAAGCACGGTCCCCTAGCCAGTTAGTGGAACGCATGCTTGTTCCACTTATTAAAAATGAAACAGAAACTCTTGGCTTTTTCTTTTTAAACTGGAGATGGAAAAATCTTGTGCATATTATGTAAGAACACCACCACCGACCTACACTCTCAGCCTCATAGATCTTTTTGTTGAGGAGGAAAGAAAATCATAATTAAAATATAACTACATCAGTTCCCTCTACCTTTCCCAACCTCTCCCATGTAACCCCTGTTTGCCCCCATTCAAATACATGGCCTATTTTCCTCTAATAGTTATCATTAAATAGGTAGATGAATGCAAAACATAAATAAAAACAACCTGCCGAGTCCCTTTACTATTCTCGTGAGAAGATTTTTTTTCTCCTGTTCTCTCGTTCTTAGCTTCTCTGTTGTTAGTTATCTGTAGTTCTGAGTCTATGGGTAGGGCCTTGTAAGATTTCCCTAGTCCCCCTCCCCCATGCTTGCATGTTTATAGGTGGTGTCATTGTCCAGACCTTGTTTATGCAGCCATATTGTTGAGGATTCGTGGGTGAAGCCTCCCAGTCATTTCTGTCAGATAAAATCTCACAGAGGACTTCCTGTTCTCTAGCTTTTATAATCTTTGTGTTCCCCTCCTCCGTAATGTTCCTTGACCCTTAGGTAAGGGAGTTGAGTTGTATATATGTCAATTAGGAAAACAATTATAAACAAAGGGTGTTATATACATTAAAGAGTTAGGATTTTAATATACATAACATCATATATATATGTATATGAATATGAATATATATATATATTCTTTCTTTTATGGATTATTTTTAGTTTCCAGAAATCATGCTAGCTGTATTATATATTTTGTTTTTTTTTAATGCTGCTAAAGTATATGGAATTATTCTTAACCTCAATTTTAGGCAGATAAGTTTTAGTACAAGAGCCAGAGTATGTGATGGACTTAGTCAAACATATTCTTATTGTTTTGCATATGATTATAAAATCAGTATATGCGTGTGTGCATGCACAGATGTGTGCACCTGTTGATTGCATTAAGCATTTGATGTCTCCTAACTCGGGATGGAGGAGGGGCTTCCACGAGGTCTTCAGTGGATCATTTCTCCTAGGTGAATTGAGCACATCCTACTTTTCTAATTCTGTGACCTTGCAGTCATGACTTCAGCCCAGAATAGTTTCAAAGTCATGTAAATGAATGCAATTAAGGTATTGCTTATCATCATACATAGTTCAGATGGAACCTTACTGGATAGAGACGTTTGTTTGCCTCATGAGGAAGGTCAGAATAAGGTTAGATTTTATTACATAAAATACAGGAATGCTTTTATTAAGCTGATGAAACAAATGTCATAATAGAAAAATCATAATGTTTTCCCCTCTAATTATCTGAATGTCTTCATTATTTTTTTTCCTTTTGTTAGTTTAGTTTTGTTTGCTTGATTATTTCTCTGTAGTAAATAACACTTTAAAGGAGATGCCTTTTGTCTACTTGTAAAACCTTGGGACATCACACTCAGTTGTAATTCTAGGTGTAGTGACTAACACCCGAGCTGACACCTTGGCTGTTGGTGGTAGGTGGCTTTGGGCTTGCTAGTGTATGTCCTTAGAAGACTTGTGATGTGCCAATTACCAGGCAGGTGGTACAGGACTTTTAAACTGTAGGAAAAACAATCCCACCACACAGGTAGGCCTATTGTCTGTAGAATAGACAGACCACGAAAGTAGACACTGGAGGTTGTACAGAGAAAGAACTGAAAGTGAAACTGTGTGGACATAATGCAATTAAAAGAAAAATAAGTACCATTCTCTTTCCTTCTGTGATATTTCAAAGTATGTTGTATTCGTTGATTCGGGATTTAAAGCTTATGTTTACTTAACAGCTATTTACTGGGAGTGAGCTAGATGCTTTTGCAACAGACATGACAGAGACTTGGGGAACATAAAAGAAAAATGAATGGCTCCCAGTCACAGTGAGAACAATAGACACGGAGAACATTACCCAGAGATGTAATGTTATAAGCCTACTTGGTTAGCATGGTGGGGGAAGTACCACACCAAGAAATCTGGTATCTGTGTAAGGAGACTGAAAGGTCCTCGTGAAATGAAGATGAACTAGCTTCTTCATTTTGTAGGTTTGTATTTTGGTTTATAGATTTTTTTTCTTTTTTTGATAATGTTGTGATCCTGGAAAACTTATCCTAAGTTATGGATGTTATGGATTAGACATTGAAGAGGCCAACAGTGTAAACTCTGAGAGTCCAATGGAACAGTGTTGTACTTAGATCAGGGTGTGTGCTGGCAGTACCATTGGCCCATTGATCAGCATGACCCTTAAAAGCCCATGCCTGTACAGTGGAGACCATGTCTCTGCTGGCCAGATGTATGCATCCACCAAGCATATTCATTGTAGCCTTTGGGCTTCCTGTGTCCCAAGATAGTTATATACGTATGGATAGGGCTACAGTATCCTAACTACTTGTAAGATCGGGGGTTGGGGGGAGCTCAGTTGTGTGGGTCTTGAATCGAGAGAAGGGGACAGTATTGAATTGTGGTTTCAAAAGTTTGGGCACACTGCCAACCTTCTCCTTGTCTCTGCCACTCTGAGCTGAGGATGGTTCTAATTCTGAGTTTAACTTTCTCTTCCTACTGGGTGAGAAGCAGCTAGGTGTTTCAAACCCTTCCATGAATGTCAAATACTTTCGATGTTTTTTTCCCCAGAAATTCATCTCTATCCTAGCGAGGGACAGTTTACTGTTAGCATGAAGACAGGCGTCTAAGTAATTCTATAGCATAAGTGGTTTCATTAGACACGGTCAGGAGCCACAGTCAAGGGAAGCGTGCCTACATGAGACTCTATCAAAATACATTCATTTGTCGCTTCTTGGAGGTAGCTTATTTTAGGCCACAGTTAATACTCCCGTTTTGAACACATTATTGAAATTATTTCACGAACTCACAGTAACACGCATCTCTCTCTTTCAGAAGGTGTGGATTGTGAGTGGTTGCAGACCTGTTCTCAGGACCCTTTATTTTAACATCTGGGAGAAACACATCCAAAAGGTATTGATTGTATTTTGTCTCGTTGCTCCATTTCTAAATTACTTATGGTCCATCCTTTTGGTGAAAGGAACATGAGACTGCTTTATTCTGTTATTCTCCTTTAACTTTCATCTGTTGACAAACTAGCTTGACATTTGTCTCAGTCTATCCTATCGAGACACATTATCTCGTGGCTTGTTGTGAGGCATGGTGGTATGTTATGGTGGCCAGGGATATGGTGGAACAAAACCTATGAAATCTTTATGAACAGGGTGCAAGCCGAAGGTGGAGGTGGGGTTGGGGGAATGGGAACAGAAACAGGATACACCCTTGGGAGCCTTAGGGGTAGCACCCTACATGTAACTAGGCCCAACCTCCTAGTTACCTATCCACTTGTGTATTCATCAGAGGTTCAGTCCATTGATGTAGCCAATGCCCTCCTGATCCCGTTCCTTTTCAGTAAGCCTGGAGAGCTACACCAAGCCTTTAATAAGTGAATCTTGTTGGGGGACCACTTCAATGCTAAACCCCAATGAAAGGTTTCCTTCTTAATGTTCTGTTTCATATGTCTTCTGTCTTGAATGTGTCTCCTTTAAAAAAACACTGCTAGTTCTTTTGCCTGGAATAGAAATAGATGACAGGCGCATACATAAATATGGTTGATAATGTAGTGTGTATCTGTTAAGGTTACAATGACTAATGAGTTCAGTAGTGGTTCACATCCATGGCACACAGCAAATACCGGATTTTTCTGTTATCTCAATCAGTTTTCAAGCAGCATGAATACAGAGGATGGAGTGAACATTGCTTTGTTTCCCAGAATATGAGAAAGCTTTGTTCTGAGAACAAAGCTTTCACTCTGAAAACTTTTTGGAATTTTTACTGTATTTTCAGAAAAAATAAGATCAGGATTTTTAAGGAAGTTGAAATCATTTTTGTTAACTGAAGATAATAGTTAACTATTACAATTACGCATTTAAAGATAGAAGCATTCAAATGTAGTAGTAAAGAGAATTGTTCATTTTTTTCAAGGCCTGCATGAGTCTCCATTTATGAAAATGTATCATTATCTCAGAAGACAAGTGTGTTTGATGAGCTTTGAACTGGATGACACTATTAAAGAGAAATTCAACCTTGAAATAAAGTATAAAGTGGACAGCCCCTCTTATAAAATCAGAATAGGAATTGTTTTCAAGTCATGTCTTTGAAGATACAATATACAGAGCTCCTTTAATCATTGCTTAGCTAGAAGACATTCTTTTAACCGAAGTATAACTTCCTTCTGGAAAGGAGACCCTTCCTTTCGAGCTCTGAGTAAGTGTGCGCCTCAGTTGTCATGCTTCACGGATGTGCCTAAGTTTCTCTGTGCAGAGTGCAAAGCAGCCTTCTGGCACTTGTTGAAAGTCACGTATGACTGAAACTCCATCTGGTGAGCGTAGCCCTTCCTTACCCCTTTGGCCATTCAGTGCACAGCCTCTCTTCATCTTGCTTACATTGATGTCAAATGGGGATTATCATGCTAACTCAACTTTTATACCAGAATCATGTAGAACAAATACAGTTCCCCCTTTCTGCAGTGGACTTGTCCCAACCCTCCGTGGATCACTGACGACTTGTTTTGATTTCTGTGTACTGGCTTGCCCTGTACATACACTAGTCCAGTGCCCCTTCTGTCTTACTTAAGCACCATTGCTTGTAAGTACGACTTTTACAGTATGAGGTGTTGCAACAAAACTAACAGAAATTTCTTTTCTCTTTTTCACAATTTCATGGGTTAGATTTATTCTTCCCTACCACCATTTCAGCAACCTCAATATGAGTTTCTCTTATGAAGTAAAGATTCTGTTTGTCACTAAAGGAAGCACTTTATGCTTATTTGACACATTATTTAAATAATGTGATACTCTGACAGTGACCCTGATAAAAGGTGGGATCGTGAGTAGTGGACAGGTAACATATACAAAGTGGACACGCTCGACAAAAGCATTCTTCATCTTGTGGAAATGGACTAAGAGTTCTTCAGGTTCTTCACAGTGCTGTGTCGTTCTACCTACCTAGACTTTTCCAACTAATGTTTTTAGACCATAGTTGATCTTAGAAAACTGAATCCACAGGAAGTGAAACTCTGAATTGTTCTAGAACCTTCTGTGAAAATCCACAGATATTCACATTTCTTATGACATGCTGTAGCATTTGCACAGAGCCCACTTCATTTTGACTACCTCTTAAATCAATTCTAGAATATACCCAAATATATATAAATGGCATGTCAGTATCTGTATATGGTAAAGTTTGGAGTATAATGTCGAATTATTATTATATGTCATCATTAATGTTGTTATACATTATTATATAATAATAATGTCATTACTCTCTAAGCTATATTGGGCATAGAACAGTCTGTGTATTCTCAGGAAATAGCCTACTCCCATTGAGTATTTTGCATCCAATTTGTCTAAACCTTTATACATGGGTGGACACACATCACCAGTATTTCTATCTTACCTGTGTAGACATGTGGGGTCACTAACTGTGTAGACATATGGGGCCACCACATCATGACATTTAATTTAGTTGTGTATTGAACCCTTATGGGCCTAAGAGTTACATTTAAGTCCAAAGTGCTTCATGAAGACTCTTCATTAGCCCGCTCTTTAGTTTCCTGATTACAACCTGAGGCTACACTGGAATATTGAGAGAAATGAACAAGGAAACATAGTGTGTGGTGTGGCCCGCGTGAAATTGTCTCGCCAGCAAGGAAGACACGGCAACACACCAGGATCCTTCCGCAGCAAACGTTTATTCCAAATGAAAATGGAGGAAGACCCCAGGCCCGGAAAAGGCACTGTTTATATACCCTTGGAGCGGTGTGTTCACTTCTGATTGGCTGCTTACTCGTTACCCGCCAAAACGCCCCGGGATGGGCTGTGACTTGGCGCTTTTTTACCATAGCACATGCACGGTTTACTTGTTTACTTGGAGGAGCACGCCAGCGCCATCTTGTAATGGCGAATGCTGTCAGCACAAGCCGCGGCTTCCTACATCTCCCCCTTTTTTGTTTTATTACAGAGGGTGGTAGTTGAGATCCCTGGGAAGGTTTCGTAACTCCCATATTTGGGGGTCTCATGGCGGGTCTGAGTCTCTTTGGAGGGCAGTGCTCAAACCCTTACCCGTCACTGGGTCAGCCTCCCCACCCGGGGCTGCCCTGTCTTAGGTGGCCGAGGCTTATCCGTCCGCTCCATCATTGACTTACCAGACCTACTATCCGTGGAATGAACACCTTAGTGGGCAGGGACTGTGTACAGATATGTTTGAGGCTTCATAGGATGTCTTCACCAAAAGCCCTTGGGGTACAGAGGCTGAGGAATCTGTCTACTGGCTATTTCCTTGGTGGTCCTTGGTGTCCTGTTAGAAAATGCAGCCGACCATGGTGGGTATTTGACATTGTGGATGATCATGGAGACTCAGTTGTGTGTCCTTCTAAATCAGAACTTGTCTGTCCACCCATCACCAGCTTTTTTTTCTTTTCTTGGACGTTTAAGAGTTGTTCCAACTCTGTGGACTCTGTGATTGTTAATTCCTCTTACGTTTGAAAATGTAAGGGTCTGCCAGCTGCTGAGGGCTTCCCATTCCCCTGCTGCCCTCGAGCCCCTTGCTTTTGTGTGTGCAGTTTGTAAACCAGTCCGAGTTTCATTCTTGCAAGCATCCAGATGGCACAGGGCTTGGGACGACAGTTTCGTGACTTTGGGGCTGTAACACAAAGCAGTGTATTGGAAACAATGATTTTCATTTTTCCTCCCAGGAAATAGTTTCCAGGTAAATAATTAGTAGAGTCTCACCTGGATTTTTTTTTCTTCTCATGGCAGGCTGTAGGTTTTTAAAGTGATTTCCTTTGACATATCCAGGTTAATAGAGGCCTTCCCCAGTAAAGGGTGAGGTTGGAAGTTGGCTCACCACACACGCAGCTGCTTCAACACACATGTCCTTCACTACTGTCTGTGTTCTTATAGGTGTATAGTATACTCTCACTGCTGCAAAACCAAAAGCCCTTTCGTTCTTACTGGGTCATGATTTATTTTAAAATATCAACTTGTTTTTTAGGACTTTCTTCTTTTCTTTCTTCCTTCCTTTCTTTCTTTTAAACTTTAAAAAAAAAAAAGTTTTGGAGATTTTCCTGAAAAATGTTTTGACCAGCTTTCTTCCAGTAAGGAAAATCCAGGGTGTTTATTCTCTGGTAGTAACAGAAGCAATGCATGTGGTAAGTTTGCAGCTGAGAATTGGCAGAGGCCAAATAATGTATTCTTATTCATGGTGTCTAACTGGGTAGTAAAGGACTTGGATATATGTCTGCTTGTGTCTGTAGCACAGCTGTAGGGACTGAATGTAGTGGCTTTTGAATAGGTTGTCTGTCTCTGATGAATGACTGGGGGACTGGCTGACCCAGGCAATTTTAGTGAGATGCTATGGAGGGCCTGTTTGTGCTACCCGTGACTTGAATTACAAAACCAAATAGGTTCACATGTTAGTATCAGCTCCACCACAAATTACCAGACTTTACTGAGCCTTGGCCTTACCCTTGGTTACCATCCATTTTACAGTTAAATGGATCAGTGTGTGACTTAGGACTACTGGCAATAATGGTGACTGGTCCTGTCCTACTAGGGTTCATATTGCTTTGATGAAGCGCAATGACCAAAGCACCTTGGAGAGGAAAGGGATTATTTAGCTTATGCTGCCACATCATCAAGACAGGAACTCAGGGCAGGAACCTAAGGCCAGGAGCTGACAGAGAGGCCATGGAGGGGTGCTCTTTACTGGCTGGCTACCACCCATGGCTTCCTCAGGCTGATTTTTAAAACAGATTCAGTGATTGTGTTAACGCTACACTACAGAATTATCTCCACCCATTTGTTTGCTCCCAGAGACTCTGATGAGAAAATATTGCTGGAAACATCTCCATTAAGTATTGGCCTTATATGTTTTTCTCTGCACGATTGTTAGCCAAATTATTTTTTTTTTAA